GCTTAGAAGTTTCAAATAAAATATCCATCGCATTCTCCCTTTTATGTCCGCGTAAATGCAATGTGGGAAAAACGCTACGTAAAGCTCTCCGGCGTTATCATCACGTTTCTTGTTCATATTTCGGTAGACGCTGAAAAGCTCGCGTCGAGCGTGTAAAAGCTCTCGACGAAGAGTCCTTCATGCGGAATATCAAATCAAGATTCTGCCTTCTTCATCTCTCTTTCTTCTCTTTCTCCTTCTTCTCCTTTTCTTCTCCACCTTCGTCTCCTGCCATCCCTGTCATTCCTCTCTCCTGCCAGGCTCCGTATCTTTACTCCGTCGTGTTCCGTTGCGAGACGTGAAAGCACGACGTCTCGCTTTGACATCGAGATACATACCGCGACGCGTTTGATATTTGACACGAAATCCGCGTATCGTCGCGAGTACTTGTAAGCCTCGCGTGGCTTTGCCAAGTCAGATGATATTGCTGAGAATTTCTGCAGGTAAATCCGGAATCTCTGTTTCTCAAGTTTGGTACGCAAACGAATCAGATAATTAAAATTTTTAAGAATCTGAAATCTACCTTTCAAAAGTCGAGCCACGAAAGATAAAATCGACACCATTTTTTTAATTTATTGTACTGTGACAAGATTTTTTTATATAGATTTTATTTATCTCTACGTAATATTCATAATTTGCAACTATAATGTATTTATATATTATAAATTATAAAAAAATCCGATATTTAAAGAGAGAATATTATTCCAATAAAATAAAATGAAGTAGCAGTGTAATATATTATTTAAAATAAAGTGAGCATTATATAAAATGCTCTCGATATTGACATTTTTTATATCAGATTTATTTATTATAGACTATAGATGCTTACGATATTACTCATATAATATTTTTTATTAAACAACGAACATACAGTCTTAATTAAACGCTATTCATAGATGATGCGATTTAACTGACAACAACACTAACAAAAAACTAAATAAGGCGATATTGCGATTTTTTGTCGACGCGTCGCAATTTCCCGAATCGACGATAAATCCGTTATTCGAATAGTGATTAAACGGTAGTTGACTGATACTCATCGTCAATTTTTTCAGAAAACAAAGCCACTCGTATCCAATTCCCACCGCTCGCCGCGGGAGAAGCAAATTATTCAAAGGGCCCGCTTTTCTCTCCCGCGAGCGCCATAATGCGAGTGCTCGCCGCTTGTATACAGGGGGTTTGTATAAGGGGGGTTTGTGGCAGCCACTATAAGCACACTGCATATGGGTATTGGAAACGCGCGTAGATCACGCAGGATTATTCGGACACCCCCGGCGATCCCTAAGCTCTGTTGGATGCATGCTAATTGCCGTGAAGGCACACATCCATGTACGTGTATATACAGGGTGTCCCAACATACTTGGTATCTTAATTAATGATCGATCTCGATTGTTCACGCTTCAATTCTTCCTTCATTAGAGTATCAAAGCTGACAGCGTTTTATTAACAAACAATTGAAACTGAATGCCAGCTGAAAATTAAATTACGTGCGTTTATTTAACGAGGTGTTTTTCTACTTGAATTGAAAAGCACTTTATTTGCATAAAGTTTTAGATGATGATTTAAATAACATAATGCTTTATTTTACATATTAAAAATTTTTAACAAATAATAAGTTAGAAATTTTAATAATAAACGTCAATTTCGAATTTATGAAGAGATTAGTATTCAGATTAATTTTGTAAAGACATAGATATTTATATTTTTTAAAGTAAAATTTTGGAAAGAGAGTTTTGAAACACCATATATATACACATGACTCTGCCATCTACGTACAACGAAGATGACATGGTCAACGTACATGGACGTGTGTGTATGTGTTTAAAAAGGAAGGGGCGGTTAATAGAGGATGGCGAAATCCACCCCTATAGACATCCTTTCGAGAGCACCACGAAAATAGCGCAGTCCATGAACGAACACGCAACTACACGTGCAACAAGGAAGGCAATCGAGGCGAAGAAACACGAACAGGGTTTGACCCTCTAATGCACGAGCTAAACTTTTCTAACTTTAATTTCTCAAATTTCGACAAAAATTTCGATGAGATCAACTCTCTTGGTTGTCAAAAATTAAAATTAATATGTTAAACTAAATTGTAACACGTAATTGTTTAAAATATACGAAGATCAATCTGCTTTATAATTACACGCGAAATCTTAAAACTAAATACAGATATAATTAAAATGAAAATTTATGTAATTTTATCGTTTGTTAAAAATGGAAATCATGGAGATAAAGCATCTCGATGCATAAAGTGCCACTGCTTGCGAAATTAAATAAACGGATTGCAAGTTTGTACACGCAAAGATATATGAGATAAAATTACTTTCCACGAACGATTCAGTTAGTGAGAGAAATTCGACCACTAACGGGCAGTATCAAGGCAAATCTTCTGTGTGTATCGCGCCATTGCCGCACGTTAGAGAAATAATCCCTCATGTTTATGTATGTCGGGTTTTCTCGCATCCTTTAATGCGCCCTATGAATTTTTTTTTAAAGCGCCGTGGCGGGCGCGGTCGAATATTTTCCGCATTACGTTAAAAATGAAAGTACGATCCTCGAAGGCGGACCTTGCTACGGATAAATCACCGCGCGGGGTCGACTTGACTCGCGAGGGCGGAAGCGGCGGGGGCGGGGGCGGTTCGGCGGCGGTGGTGGTGTCTCGCGTAAAATCAGCTTAAGGGAATTTTCAGACGTCGAATTTCCGCGGCGCGCGAAACTTCCGAGAGAAGCTGCTTCTTCCTCGTCGTACACCGCCTCGCGTTTAGGCGCGCCGACCCTAATCACTTTTAAAACGCCATAAAGCGGATTACGTAAGGGATATTACGGGCCAATCGAAGTTATGAATTCATTAAGCCAACGCGCGAAGGTAAATGAGATTACGAAGTCATAATTGAAGACCGGCTGAAATCGTGCTAATTTCCACCGGTCCGAGTTGCTCTCGGGATGTCGGTTGTCTGATCGTAATCTTGGTCCAGAAACACTCAACTACAATAAGATTCGCGAGTAAAGAGGCAATTTAAATTTAACTAACGATCATTTCTAGTTCTTAAAAATATTTGACTGAAATTTTTTTTTAAATCTTCTTAATTAAATGTTTAATGATATATAATATTTATTCTTTTCTAATGTATGTATTATATTTTTTCGGAAAGTAGAAATAACATCGAATTGAAATATCAAACGTCGGATCGTACGTTGAATAATTACGCTGACGCGATTATTAACATATTCGTTGTGTTGTAATTATAAGCCGCCGTCCGGTCTCGTCGTAATTATTGAGCCAATCAAACTTAAACCGATGCCTGCTTTGGCTCCGACCGTAACCGTAGCTCGCATGGAACAGCACACGGGGGTGCGATTTAATTAATTAGGGAAACGACGATTGCCCCACGACGACGAAAGGGTTGGTCGTCGCTAGAATACCCTGCATCGATTTTTTTTCGAGCTTTTATGCGATTTTTCTGTCGGTTTTCATCGGTAAAACGATTACAAAAAGTACTTTTCTTTATTAAAAAAAAAATAATATTGAAGTTGTACAATTTCCTTTAATTTGACATTATAAATTTATTTATTGATGCAGCGTATTTAAGTAGCTTGAAAAATATTTAAAAAAATTATTTATAAAAAATTGCGATAACTTTACAGAATTTAAGTGAAAATCCCATGTTTAAATACATAACGTTACATAACGTTTACCCTTCCAGCTTTTAAACCAGAGTAACATTGATCGTTCAATCCCCACGGTATTGATATAAAACGTCCGTACTAATAGCAATCGTGACTCGCTATCATGACTCGACATTCCCGTTCGTTTCGGCTTTCCGCGAGTCACCCGGTAAAGTGTATTAACAGGTTGCCAATATCGTGAAAAGTCGTTGCCGATAAAAGGGAACCGAGCGACATGGCGGTCGACATTGTGAGACGAACAATTTAATATGCGCGGCCGGGACGGAGATCCTGGGGATGTAGGCAGGTCCTTACCAAGGACCCTCCCGTTTTCACCGTCGGCATACCTTATCTGTCTTCTGGCAGTCACAAAGCCCGAGATCTCTCTCGTTTATTGGAAAGCTCTGCCATCGACTAACCGTAGGCGCGCGGGATGAAAGCACACCCCGCGAGCTCTCTCTCTCGCGGTATTATCGATACAGGGTCGGGTCGACTCGTAGACTTATGTCGTCTGAATGTTGATGCCCGCCGGGGCAATTTGGGAGAAGCACGGAATTTGCATGACATTCTGTTTTGAGCGATCGCTCCGAACACGACGTCTCGACGAGCTGAATAATTGAGGGAACTTTCATGAAAAACTGAAAAGAAGGGATGGAAAAGAATGTAATGCGAGAATGCCAGATTTGTTTGTACGAGACGCCGCGGAGCAGAAAAACGTCGCTTCAAATTAGCATCAATAACATAAAATGTGTATAAAATATAAAATTTTTTTAATATAATAATATGCTATATTATTTTAATATAATAATATGCTATATTATAGTATATTACAATATATTATAGTATATTATTGTATGCATATACAAACATGTTTTGTGTTTTTCTTAAAAAGAGGGCGAATATGAAAATTGTAAGCATTCACATGCAATCGCTAATTTTGACATTATTTTTCAAAATTTTCGTAATTTGTAAAAAAAATCCTCTCGTTTTACATACATCTTACACCTTCGTCATTCTTCGCGCATGAATTTCGCAAACCAGACACGTCCGTCTCGGCACGACGACGACGCGAATCAGCGCACAAACGTGCAGCCGGAAGTTCTCGTGTAAACGAGCGCGTATCGTGCACATGCGCGAGGTCGCGCTCACGAGGGTTGCGAGTAGTGAGTCAGAACTGACGAAGGGGATGAAGAGAGAAAGGAAGGTTACCACCACCACCACTACCATCACCATCGCCGCCACCACCAACACCGACAATCGACAGCGGCGGATTCGTCAGTCGGTCGGAAAGCGTCGCGGCGCGACGTGGCTCTTCGTGCTCCTCTCGAAGAAGACGACGACGACGACAACGACGTGGATCGCTTTCTGTCGCTCGGCATACTCGGCGAACATGAGAATGCGAATCGGCGACGCTCAATTCGGATGACGAAGACCGAGCAAACGGAGGACATGTCTGGCGGCGAAGTACGAAGCGGAAGTTGACGGGGACGAGAGAGACGAAGACGGTAGACTCTCCTGGGGACAGGGACATGTTCCTCGACTTGCGGAGATGACCGAACGCTCGATGGTGTCTGCGTGACAGGTGGTCCTAACGTCTCCACGACATCCTTGGTACGGAGAAGCTTGATCGACGGGAAGCGTTGCCTTAGTCCTGCGGGGATGCGGGCCCGCGGAATCTTCTACCTCGAAAATTCGTGATATATCTTTTATACGTATCTTCTATAAGGACTGCTTCGAGAGACCTAGATATAAAGGCGATCCTGCCGTAGCTTCGACACGCTTGAGCGATTTGAGTGAGTAAACAAGCTCTTGGAAGCTTGGCGCAAATTTAACGGAGTAAGCTTCGCGGATGCAAGCTGACTGCAAAACGATAGACAAACTTGAGTAACCACGAGAAGGATTACTCGAGAATATTTTTACGAATCGTTACATGCGATTCCCGTTTATCTCGCGAGTTCAAAATACAATTAAAGGCAGCTGCGCGACGATTTACTAACAGCTGCGACAACATCGATCTAAGGGGTGATCGTGGTGGATCGTTGAATGGTTCACGCTGTCGTCCGAAGTGCCAGAGTCAACTGTGGAAGACGCGGGGGTGGCGGAGACGAGGGAGGGTGGTGCGGTTGTCGTCATAGTCGATGGTAGTCGTGCCGGTCGAGAGAGCAGCTGCGACGGTAATAGTCGTAACACTAACAGCAGCTGCAGTAGTAGTAGTAGTAGTAGTAATAATAGTAGTACGAGCAGCGACAGTGGTATTATCGGTGGTGGTGGTAGTGTCATTGTCGGTGATAGTGAAGGTGGTAGTGTCGGTGGAGGACCGTCGCGCAGGGGTGGCTCGTCGCGACTTATAACAAAGGGACCGGTGGAGGGCCTGGCAAGCAGCAGCAGGGTGGCCGCGCGAGTGCACCCGAGTTGGGGAACGGGCGCGAGAGGGGTGGGTCCCTCTGCACCCTCAGGACCGAGGGGATGTCCCGCGGCCGACGACGTGCCCGGTCGCAACGTCGCCGTCGGCGCCACGACGCGGAATCGCCGGCCGATGGGCACCAATCTTACTAAGCAGAGCAGGGTGAGTTCTTCGTTTTAGGGGTCGACACTCGTCCGTGGCTTTTGAAATGAGTCTTTTGTCGAAATGAGTCGATGTGCACACTGGGTATGCAATTTACGAGGAAAAGCCGACTCTTTGTCTTCTGCAGAGAAGAATGCGAACATCGAACATTTTTAGAAATATTGCGATTAAAATTTTTTGCGCAAATGTTTCAAATTAACTCTTTGCAATTTTACATCTCTGAATTAATTTGATCATTGTCCAATGTAATTGCATAGAGAATTTGAAGCAATTCATTTTTCTAAGATAATTAGACAGAGACCTTTGTATTACAAGAAAATTATATAAAATTTTATTTTTTAAAAGTTTTATATTAAGGGATCTTTTTAAAATAAATACATAAATCGTCAAATAATTCAGTGTTCCTGGCATTAAATTGATATATAATATTTTTCTGTGTTAAAATATCTATTTTTGAAAATTAGGGAAATAAATTCGAATAATTTTATAAAAATTTTTTATATATATCCATATATACATGTAGTTATTACAGGAGACAAATACTAAATTCCCGATTTTTATTGATCGCGAAGACAAATAGTTCTATCGAGAATAAGATAACTAAACGGTAGCATTTATGCAGGAATGAATAATGACGGCCTGAGAAATAGAAACGATATAGCGCCGTAGGCTGAATGAACGGTACTGTTAATAAACACGTGGGTAAGGAAAAAGGCAAACGAGAAAATTCACGGGCCGTTAAAAACGCTTGCAGGTATCCACCCATATCTGCGCTTGTGAGAGACTGCCATTCACGGGGATCTTTCGTTGCCAATGAATGAAGCATTCAACGCACTCGTGCGCACTTTCACCCGCGTTCGTGATCTTTGCGATTTCGTCGATCGGCAAGTCTGCACTTTGCAGATGAAACCGGACTTTTCTTGAAAGCTGATTCAAAATATCAAAATAATTATAATTACTCAATATAAAATAATATGCGTAATTTCGTCACATTGTAAAAACAAATACATATAAGAATGCAATGAAGAAAAGTTGATATTAACGAGAATTGTGTTAGTGAGATCGGTGTAAATGACAACAAAATTATCTTGAAAATATTTAATTACATATCCTCGAGAAATTTAATTTATTTTTTAAGTTAATTTTAAATATAAACTATTTCTCAAAAGCTATGAAGTAAGCGCTTTCAGGTGCCTTGTGAGTAGACATATCAATTTCCCAATAACTCTGGATGATGAATGTGTTGGATGTATTGAACGAAACTTTTTTAAGCCCTTTATTGACATGCGATGAATGCACATTACATTGCATAATAGCCAGTGCATGCATTGATAACAGCACAGTTTCATACAATGGGCCGGTGACATTGTCACTTGAAATGGCTCGCTATCACCTGCATGCACAAAATAACAATAACGTTAAGTCGCATTGAGGATAATTTTATATTATTTGATCAGCAACTCGATCCTTGAATACGCGAATTTTTTATTTCAAGTGGTATTTTATAAAAAAAAAAAAATTATATCACGAATGACTCCTATTTCTGGAATTTCACTTCTTTTCCTTGATAAAAAAATCAATTATCGTACATGCGACGTTAGTCAGAGCGAAATTAGTATTATGAATCGTTCATAAATAACTTCGTAATAACAATAGAAAATATTTAACTCATCTGATCCCTTTTACTTTCAACTCGCGGTAATAAAATCAATATCTAGGCGTACCGTACCTTGGCGGTATTTAATGCTCAGACTAAAACCGGGAAATTCCACGGTAAACCCGGGTAAATAACGACGGTAAAATAACGACTGTGCTGCAGCTGTTCTCGCACGAACGAATCAAGAGGATGTCTCATTGTACTATAACCCGCCCGCCCGTCCGCAGGAGTCCAACCCTCCGTTATTTCCTCGTAATTTCTCGCGGCTGTAGACGAACCGCACGATTCTCGGAGGTGCGAAAGCGAGTCGGCTTGAAAGATTTATCGTGACTCTTTCGTCGTGCTCGTGGAGTGGAGAGAGAGTATCGGGGATCGCAGGCACGTGACCCAGCTATCAATCCGGCGGAGAGGCGAAAGGAACTCCCGGTAGGAGCGCAGCCTTCATCGGCTTGTCCTCATCCCCGCCGTCTTATTCTCCTCCTTTCTCGCGTCTCGCTCGCTCACCACGTGCTTACCCGAAAGCGACGGGCGAGTCGATCGCCGAGTCACGGATCGTGGATTTCGCTCGCGATGAATTATTAAGGAGCCCTCTTCGCCGACCGATGGTTCTCCCGGATGTCGCCGCCTCATCAATTATTTGTCGGCCTCGATGATGCAGCCTCCGCCGGCGCGCGTTGATTAGACGATCTCTCCTCGCGCATCTTCTCTCGCTGCAGCCCCGTCGCACGTGCCCCGAATGAAGCCGCGTTGCGCACGTGCACGTCCTCGCTGCAGGGGGATTATCCGGACGCGCGTATGCTTCTCTGCGGGGTATCTTTGAAGATCGTATCAGTTTCCTCGCGTTAAACTCGATTCGGTATTTTCGGCGTGGCTGAGAGAGAGAGAGAGAGAGCTTGTTGGCCCGCGCGTACCCGTGGCACGTGAAGCAATAACGTCGTATTACAAAATCTCCAAATCTGAATTGGACAGTTAAATACCGTTATATTTAGCTACCGTTATAACGAAGCTAAATTTAATAGATAGAAAATATTCACGAGTTTTCCTTCTTGCGAAATTCTTTCTCTCTTTCCTAGTTTTTATACTTATCCCGACGAAAGGGATCATTTTTAGCTGTTTTTTATCATCATACAAAAATACGGAAATGTTCTCGTTTCTGCTCTCTTGACTTTGAATAGTGGAAGATACACTTGTCGTAAAATCAGAATTTCTCACGGAATTTCGACGGAAGAGATGGTGCTTGCCTCTGCGATCGGGATCGTAAAATCATCGCGGATTTTTCGGGACGACCGAAATCGCGCTCCAAGTGGAAGTAACCTTGCAAATACGACAGTCTCGATGGAAAGCAGTCGCGGGGAGATCCAGCGGGGGTGGAAAAGAGCGTTCGTTAGGATTTAAGGCTGCCATAAATCCGCTCTGGTCATTCCTTAAACCCTCCACGTGCGAGCGGCGGTCAGCCTGGCTTTTACCAGATTGTATTCCTCGATATCTCCCCTTTAGACCCCACGTCCTCGAATTCACCCGAGTCCTTTCTTCGGCGAACTTCCACTTGATCGCGACGATATCCGTCGACGTTGGCAGAATTTTTACGAATTCGATTGTAAACGCGGCGAGCCAAGAAAAATTGGCGACCTTCTGGCGAATACGAAGATGGTGCGCACCAAGAACATATAACATTACGAACATTAGATAACATCTTGCAAATCGTATGTTGGATTGATTATTATATCGTGGATATTATTATCTCGCATCATCTATTTAAAAATTCTTTAAGAAGAAAAAGGAAATAATCTTGCACCTTTTAACAAAAAACTTGATTTATTGAAATTGATGATTATGATGAAATTATTTCTAACTTGTTTATTTTTAAGACTGTTAAAGACTGTTTAAAACTGTTTCTTATTTAGTCAGATTCTTTAATCTTATTTGAATTATTTTTTTTCACACGCATCGAAGTTATTAGTGTCCTTCGTTTTAATTTTTATATTTACTGTTATCATATTTCTCTGTCCCAAAATTGCCTTCTAATAGGAAGAACTGGCCAGGAATCTACATAAATCTAGTCCATCCATCTTTTTTCTAAAGCCAATCGCTAGCGTTGCAAATCTGAGAGCATTATTATCTCGCGCCGCATCCGAAACTTCGTCCTTCCCGGGCTTTCCGGCCGGGACAAACGACAATTTACGGCCGGTCCCGAGATAGCCGCGGTTACCGGCGGGTTAAATCGCGTGAAATACTGCTTTCGGCACATTGGTCCGGCACAATTATTGATGGCACTTTGGAGAGTGGGCAGAGAAGCAGCGGACGGGAGTCGTCCGCGATCCGGAAGGGCGCAATCAATGTGGCGTGCGGCGCTTCGATTTAAATTCATGAATAATTCCTACCCCGCCGCCCCGACGCGACGATCCGAAGATCGACGAGCTTTTTCAGTCGTCGTCTCGCGTGTTCTTCCCCGGCCTGCTCGCGATCCCGGGTTTGCCAATGAGGATCAGCCGCTGCCACCGGTAAATTTTGCCAAGTTCAGATTTACTACGGACCAGAGTCGGGCGTTATCCTAGAAAGAATTGCGTGAATCACCCTTCCCATTTGAATAATTTATTCGAATAGCGACTGTCCGTTAATCGCAGTGGCCTGTGTGGTCAATTGCTTAAATAAATAATGTATAAATTGTTTGGGTAATAATATTTTAGAAATATTGAATAATTATATAATGCACACATAGAGTTATTATTAATCTATTATTTCAGTATTTTTGAATAATAGTTATATATTTACTATATATATAGTGAGACGTTATATTTAATTTGGATTACAAAACGATTTTTATTTATTTCTGTTGGTGGAATGTCTATCCTGCAGAAAAATTGGATTGGACCAAAGCTACCTCCGATTTCCGTTTTAATCCCGGTGAAAAATTTTACCTATTGTCCGCCAACAATTTCGATAGTTTCTCCCTATCGAATAAATGAAAAGCACGGACGATTTCACCGTGATTTATTAATCACGGTCGTGCCGTTCATCGCACGTTACCGCGAATAAATTATGACGAGTGCACGCTGATTAATTACAAGTCAATTAACGTTCTCCCTCCCCTCGGGCAAAACGAACAACGAATAACACGGCAACTGACGTTGCCCGTTGCGCGACGCTACGGACACTTTATTAAATTCGCCATTAATTAATCATACTCGCGCCAGCGATACCTTTTCGCGACGCGCGATTGCTCGTATCGACGTCATTATTGCCGATTCATTATTCACGACTGTCGCAACGGCTCCGATTTTTCGAGAGCGACGCGCGACACTGAATTTTGCATCGCCGCGTTAATTATCACCCTTTTCTCTCCCTCTTGCTTTTTTTCCCTGTCCACCAGACCATCATTAATAAATGTCAACGTGTTCGGATTGTTGCAGAGGGAGGCCACGCAACGAGATGTGGAACGAGAACGCCGGCAGCGGATGGAGGCCGAAGTTCGGGTACGCGAGGCTACGGCTGAGGCTGAAAGAGCGCGCTCGAGAGTCCATCATCTTCAGAGAGAACTGGCCAGGTGAGGGATTTCAAAGTTCTGCCGTTCCCGAAAGAGGATACGTGTTGCACGTCGTTAAATCAAAGTTGAGAGTCTCCCTTCTCTCTGATTTCCCTCGAGATAGATCATCGGTATACTTGCAGCTCTTTCCTTCTTCCATACGTTTTACATCTCCTTAGAATGCCATTTTAGAAAGTTTTTTTCTCTAGAAAAGTAAATGGGAAATCACTTAACAAATAGTTTTTAGACTTATAATATAAATGACTTGTATTCATGCTAAATTCACCAAGACTCGATTGCACCAATGTTATTTTGACTTTAAGCGATACTTAAATATATATCTGTCTTTATTTATTTAAAAAAAGAGATAAAGACAGACACATACATGTTTAAATCTCGCTTAGCCAAAATAACGTTGGTGCGAATCGAGTCTAAAATTCCAACTATGTTTATCTCACGCGAGATAATTCAACATAACTCTTTTCCTATCAAAGATAAGACATATATGATATAAATTTGATATAAAAGAGATATGATATACACTAGGTAAAATTTTCTGTCAGAAACACAATAATCACATTTAAAGCGAAAGTTCTAATCTGGAATGCTCCTTATAAAAGGATGAGTATCTTATAAAAAGATGTCTGAATAACTCTGTTCCTTGAAAGCTTCCCAATTTTTTTTACTCAAGTAACACACGTAGGAAGCTTTGGGGGAGGAGGGGATCGCGATTGCAATCGGCTTATGAAGTTTCCGCCAATAATTCGAGACGGTTGTGTAGAACGCGAAATCGATTTCTTCCCGTTTCTTTCGCGGCCTCCCCGCGATAGCGGAAAATCACTTATTTCGTCGGAGGCTGTGCAGACGGCACTTTATTTCCTGTGTGCAGACCGCGCGCGATACATACATAAATATCAAAGCACCGATAAACGTATAAATAATGAGATCGCGCGCGTTTCCCACGCAATAACCACGCGGATCCAATGGTAAATCATCGATATTGGCTCTCGTCCATAAAGTATTGCGATCCACCCATCTAAAGCTAGCAAGCCTCCCTTCGCCTTTGTCGCCCGTCTCCGCTTCGATTTATTATTGCGAATATTGAAACATCCTTGCGATATCTCCGCACACTCGGAATGAAAAAGGGCACTCGATAACATCGATTAACGAGAAATATTTCTTAATACCAAAAGCTGTTAACATGAAAATAAATTTGCATTATATGCTTCGGAGATAATTTCGCAAATATTGAGGAACGTCTATTTTTTTGTTAGCACTTATTACAAATACAGAGACATGTTATTGTAATAAATATTTTAAATATATTAATATTTTAAGAATGTCAAATAGAAAATCATAAATTGAAAAGCTACATATTAGAAAATTATAAATTATTTTCGAACTGGTTGTATTAAATTTTTCATGCTATTATAAGAGAAATTAGAACTTACTCTCGTACAGTTTTTGTTCAAAGAAATATGTTTCTCGATATTTTTATTAATCTCGATAAAATATCCAAGTCGATTCCGCCGAATCTTTTCAGAGAAACATTACATAGCGAACATAAATGGGTTTCTTTAACGTTGTATATACGCGGATTATTTGTCGAATTATTTGACAGATTGGCACACATTGAACACGAAGGAGAGCCCTCGTGTACATTTCTGTCAAAAGCAACGATTCGTTTCGCCAAGTGCACGATAGGGAAAGCCTTTCAAACGCGGTTCTTTGGCTGGGTACCATCGAGCGAACAGAAAAAAAGAGAAATCTTCTGACATTTTTTCCAGGGGATCAATAACGCGCCGTAGAAATTAAACTGGCGGACGGACGGCCGGGCTTATCAACTCGGCTGGCGATAGGAATCGCGGACGATTGCAATGTAGGATATTGCAACATGACTATATGGTCGGACTTGCGTACGAATGGTCGAGCCGAGGAAAATATCAAAATACGGCATTTGAAGAAATATCGTCTTTGAAACGATTAATAGTTTCAATTATTTGTATTTAATGTTATATTGTCTTATATAACAGTATTATGGTTTTAGATTAACATTTCATTTTGCAATGATATTGCGTATTTAAAAGGAAAGAAAGTTTTTTTGAAAAGTTAACAAAATTTCGATATAATTGATAAAACTGTGATTTTTATTACAAGTTTTATAAAAATTTGTAATAATTTTCTTATTTTGGGTGTGATCGATTTGAGATATATTTTTTGAGAAAATTTTTGAGAAACGTTTATTACGTTAGATTTGTGAAAAAAATTGTTGATTTGTAAAAACAATTTTATTTATTAACAAATTGCTATCACTTCTATTTTTATTATTTTAAGCGTTAATTAGCGGAAATTTTTTTCTGAGACGTGATCGGAAACTTTGGACCTTTTTTGGCAAGGAGCCAGAACTTCATCAGTTACATAAGAATTCTCGAAATGGAGTGGATATTGGTGGATGTAATAATTTCAGGATTAAACACAAAATTAGTGAGTGGAATAAATATAGGATTACCGTGACAGAGTTTCGGGACCTTCGTCGTGATCTACGTGGACTCTTATTTGTTCTGTACACGCGGTTCTTGGGGGAAAAATGGCCCGTCTCCCATACAAGATACCGCGTAACATGTATGAACGATGCGTGTACGGCAAATTGATATCCTTGTTTTACAGCGTGCAACGTGACATGATGCATTACAACCAGCCGGATACGTTCTCTCTGCCGCCGTGAATGAATAATCACAGGTTGCATACTGCGATACATCTATTCGCTTCCCTTTTGTGTCCCTTACGTTGCTGCTCACATCCTTACATCCGTGCGCATTAATTCAATTTCAATAAACACACTGTCAAATTGTCAAATTTCAATCTTCCATAGATATCAAATACTTCACTCAGAGCTCGTATCAACATTAGTGTGACTTTCGTACATGTGTTAAAGATATTTTAATATTATAAAACAGAGAAATACAAATATTATTTGAGAAATTAGATAATGTTGTATAATTAAATATTATAAAAAAAATTAGAGAATTTCGTATATATATATATATATATATATATATAG